TGCATATCTCTGTCAAGGTCATCTTAATTCCCCAGCCAGCCATGCTGGCTGGGGAATTCTGGGAGTTGAAGTCCACACATCTACAAGTCGCCAAGGTTGAGGAACCCTGTCTTAGAAGATTCGGGACTGATGGACTTGCCTGGGCTCCAGCACTAGATTAAATAACTCTGTGGGGCTTTAACAAAGATGGCACATATCCATTACTTGCTACTGTGAAGAAAATTGCCATCTTTGCTGAATTTGTATTTCCTTATGTTGTTCATATTTCCTTATCATATCTACCACGGCATTAAATGTCAGCCTACAGTCCCAGAAAGATTTTAAAACAAGGATGCTATAGCAGGAAGTAGCTGCTACAAGGCACATGTAAAAAGTATATTCTATAATGAAGTGCATGTAGAAAACAAAAGGAAGATTCCTAGAATGAATAAAGCTTTGGCATTAAAGCAGAATGAAAGGGGAATAAAAGATTGGTTGGAGACAAGGAGACTTTCTAGACAAAACAAAAGCTCTTAGCTAAAATGCTGAACCAACAGATAAAAAAGAGGATACAATAAAAGTTTGATCACATCACATCTTTTTTTCTTGTTCTTACAGAGTCCTTGTCAGAATGATTAATGCTGGAGTAGACGGACCAATGACATGGACTGATTTAGGCAATTTGGTGTGTCTGTTATGATTAGATAAACTAACCTATTTGTTCAGTTTTTAAAGAACACACAAAACAATTTTCATCTAAATACTTTAATACATAAATATAAATAATCTCTATTAGTTATCATACAGAACAGCAATGCACCACAATTTACATTTGTTCTTACATTACAAGCATCCTCTTTACATCTAGAATTTTTTTTCTTTACCTGAAATGGAATTCTCACTTGAGCCTGCAAGTGATTTCCAAACATCTATTAAATAACCAAAGCAAACTGAACAAAAATTCAGATCAATAGAACTACCAGTTAGGATTATATTCTGCCAAATTCTGAGCTGAATTCTTCCTAAGCAGAGAACAGAAGAGGAATCATGAGAAAGTACTGTCTGATTTCTTAAATGCGTTTATACTTTTTTTCCTGAAAAAAAATACTGAATCAAGCCTGGGACACATTCCTAAATCACACTGAATAGTAACTGATTTTACTAACTGAATCTGAAGAGCCATCAACTCACAGTAATTTTAGCAAGTTTGTTTACATCCATTCCGTTATTCTGCTGCCGATAACCGATGACTCTGCCCCTTAAGGGAAAAATGAAACGGTGCAGTAATGGGATGCATCCAGAGTGAGGGCTCTTAATGCCACCAATCAAAAGATGGATTGTTCAGCTAATACATCATTCCCTTGGCTAAAACAAAGCAAAACAAAAGTAGTGGGAAAGCATGGCAGGATTTAAACATCTGGACACCCCTTCCCTCCTCATAAAATAGAAGCATTCTGAAACCAAACTCTTAGGTCTAGATTAATAAAGAGTATGTAAAATATATATGAGCATATATTAACTATGCATTCAATCCTTTAAAAAGAAAACCCCAATGCAAGCCTGCTCAAGCCTTGTAGCTACAATCTGACATGTGCTTTCTGAGTAGTAAGCCTCACTATGTTTAATGGTGCTAACTGTCTAAGAAAAGATTGGCTAGAGAATTTCGACTGGAGAGGTCTAGGCCGAGAGCCTTTTCTGCCATCGCCCCTGCCCTGTGAAACATCTTGCCCCCTGAGTGAGATTGGACCCCACTCTTTTGGCCTTCCGGAAGAGCGTCAAGACCTGGCTCTGTCAACTGGCATGGGGACCCAATGGGGGTTCGCAGTGCTGGGGTGGTTGGTGGCTTGAGGACGCTGTCTCCGTCTTTCAACTTTGTATATTTTTGTAAAGATTTTTATCGTTTTTATCACTTTTTACTTGTAAGCCTCCTAGAGTCACTTATACAGTGAAATGGGCGGTGTATAAATTTGATTAATAAAATTAAATAAATAAATAAATAAATAAGAAAATATGGAACTGCACCATTGTTTTTATTAAAGGATTCATGGAAGAAAATATTTTGCTACAATTTCCTACCAGTTCCACTTGCAATCTGTTTGTTCCTGCACAGATTCTGAGACTATTGAGGGTTGAGCACTTTCTTTGCAATCAACCTCCTAAGCTAGAGCTAAAAGTTTGAATAAAACCTAAGACAAACAAATCATCAACAGGCAGAAAAAGCAATGCTAGCACCATTAAATGAGAAATTTGTAATGGATTTTAATTCTATTATAGAGGTACTGGAGCAAACACTAGGCTCTACAGTATGTGTATTTTTTAAAAGCATCCTCTAGCCCAGTGTTTCTCAACCTCAGCAACTTTCAGATTGTGGACTTCGACTCTCACAGGCTGGAGAATTCTGAGAGTTGAAGTCCATACATTTTTAAGTGGCCAAGGTTGAGAAACACTGCTCTAGCCAAATCTAAGATTCTGCATTGTGGCTTGAATGGCTACGTTACACAGACACAGTGGCTTGCATGCATTTAATAAGTTAATTTTGCCAACTATTCACAATTCACTCATTAAATTTCTAGATTCATCCTGAAAGCAATCAATCATATGTAACTTCAGGCAATATTATCACTTTTAACATGGGCATATTTATAACACTTCCTGAGCTTAGACACCATTTATTAGGCATTTGTTTTGCTACCAAATATTGCAAGTATATAATGTCCCTTTCCTGGAAAAAAAATTGACATTATATCCCAGGAAACAAATACAAATCAGCTACCTCAGAACAGAAAAGCAAGATGAATTGGCTGGTGTGGGTCTTCCGGGCTGTGTGGCCATGGTCTTGAAGTTTTGTTTCCTAACG